GACTTTTTTTTTTTTTTTTTTCCCATTTTGGTCTACTACCATAACTTGTCGGGTTATATCTTCTTGTTGCTCCCAGTCTCTGCTTCATAGAAGCCATTGTTTCCATACACTGTCAAGAAGCCTGAAAACTGGTGTCTGCAGCCTGGCATAAACTACTCCTGTTAAGGCTGCTACATCTGTACTCTAATCCAGTGGTTTTGTATATACAGTTGGCCAAGGGGTAGGATTGAATGATTTTCATGGCTCAGCCTACTATCCTAAAATAACCAGCAAAACCCCCTTGTTTTTATGATTTGTGATGGGAGACCTGTAGATGTCTTCTGTTTTAAAGAGATTGTTCATGTTCATATATACATAGCTTAAATGCCCCAGAAAAACACATCAGATCTGTCAAACATGGATAAAGCACACATTGTACTCGGTGAGGAGAGTGATGTTTCTGCTTGGTAGCATGTGACCCACTGAAGACCCTACATAAACTCAAAGCAGAAACATTCCTCTGAATATATAGCATTGATTGAAAGAAGCAGGCATGGTCAATACCAAATACATATGAGGAAGGGATAGTGCCTTTTAATGTCCACCAGTTAGTACATTGTGATGAGCTAAAGCATGAAAAAATCCGGAAAGTGCTAGTTTATGCTAGTGCTGGGTTATGACTGTAGTTCTCAATTTAAGCTGATATGTACCGTATTTGCCGGCGTATAAGACGACTGGGCGTATAAGACGACCCCCCTACTTTTCCTGCTAAAATGTAGTGTTTGGGCTATACTCGCCGTATAAGACTACCCCTCTTCCAATGCACACCAGTGGGAGGAATAGTGCCCCATCATTGATGTCAGTGGGAGGAATAGTGCCCCATCATTGGTGTCAGTGGGAGGAATAGTGCCCCATCATTGGTGTCAGTGGGAGGAATAGTGCCCCATCATTGGTGTCAGTGGAAGGAATAGTGCCCCATCATTGGTATCAGTGGGAGGAATAGTGCCCCATCATTGATGTCAGTGGGAGGAATAGTGCCCCATCATTGGTATTAGTGGCAGGAATAGTGCCCCATCATTGGCATTAGTGGCAGGAATAGTGCCCTATCATTAGTATCAGTGGAGGAATAGTGCTCCATCATTGGTGTCAGTGGCAGGAATAGTGCCCCATCATTGGTATCAGTGACAGGAATAGTGCCCCATCATTGGTATCAGTGGCAGGAATAGTGCCCCATCATTGGTATCAGTGGCAGGAATAGTGCCCCATCATTGGTATCAGTGGCAGGAATAGTGCCCCATCATTGGTGTCAGTGGGAGGAATAGTGCCCCATCATTGGTGTCAGTGGGAGGAATAGTGCCCCATCATTGGTGTCAGTGGGAGGAATGGTGTCCCATCATTGGTGTCAGTGGGAGGAATGGTGTCCCATCATTGGTGTCAGTGAGAGGGTGGAATAGTGCCCCATCATTGGTGTCAGTGGGGGGTGGAATAGTGCCCCATCATTGGTGTCAGTGGGGGGTGGAATAGTGCCCCATCGTTGGTGTCAGTGGGGGGGGGGGGAATAGTGCCCCATCGTTGGTGTCAGTGGGGGGGAGGAATAGTGCCCCATCGTTGGTGTCAGTGGGGGGAGGAATAGTGCCCCATCGTTGGTATCAGTGGCAGGAATAGTGCCCCATCATTGGAATCAGTGACACCAATGATGGGGCACTATTCCTCCCACTGAGACTTGCTGACCCTGTTCTCGTATGGTGCTGCTGCAGCCACATATGTGGTTGCAGCAGCACCTCTACACAGAACACTTACCTGCTGCTGGCTCCGGCACTCAATTTTCGCGGGGCCCGCTCGGCCTCCAGCCCCCATCGCCGGTGATTGGTGCCTGTGTTGCCTTTCCTGAGCTACAGTTCTCTGGCGGGCCAATCACCGGTGAGGAGGCGGAGCCGAGCAGCCGCACGAACATCCAGTGGCCGAACTGAAGGAGACGCCGCGCTTCCTGGACCGGATTCGTCGTGGGACTGGATCCAGGTAAGAGACATCAGCCCCCTGCAAACCCCTGTACTTAATGCCGCAGCCCCCCTAACATGTGTACCGGCGTATAAGACGACCCCCGACTTTTGAGAAGATTTTCAAGGGTCAAAAAGTCGTCTTATACGCCGGCAAATACGGTATCTCCCGTTCCTAGACTTTATTCAGCTTGATAGCATGCCTAATTGCCCACACTTAGAGCAACTCCACTTTTGTTAAGAGAGAAGAAACATTGCCCTCTGGGTTATCTATGTACATTGCAAAGGCTTTAACAAACTTTGTTGCAGTGAATCTGTTTTTAGGAGTGGTTTTATAATTATCAATCGGCTACAGGGCACTAATGAGGAAAATGACAGGGTCTGCATCCCCTTGGACGTGATTTTCCCATAGGGAGTATCTCACCAAAAATGCCATGTTTGTTGCACGAGATGCTAAAATTATGACTTGTATCTTGGTGCAAGCTTCTGGAAAAAAACAGTAAAGCCAATCACACATGCAGTAAATTACATTTTCAGGGCATTCTGTACACATCTGTGTACGGAACACGTTCGGGTAGCCATATTGCCTCACATTTTACAGAAAATTACAGCCCTGCAGATTGAAAGGGACAGATAATTTTTAATCATAATATGACTTGAGTCGTAAATGCGCTTTTTTTTTTTTTTTTTTTTTTTTTTCTTTTTTTTTTGCTATTTGAAGAACCACACCCAAAGTTGACTTCTGTATTTACAGTGGGGTGGGCCAGGGTACAATTCGCTACCAAGACTTTCTTGCCATTCATCTCCTCTAAGAGGAGGTCCCTCTCCACCTCCAGCATGGTTGTGGCAGTATGAGACCTGAAATAGTTGTGTTGCTTGCTGGCCTTTTTTGTATTTCTGCATATTTCCGGAAAAATCCATTAAGGAGGCCCAGACAAACTTTTTTTTGTTTAATGCATGCTGGGATGGAGGGATGCAAAGCTGTCCGATCAGAAATCAATCTGTGTCCTCTTCCACCTTTTAAAAAGCCTGCAGAAGTACAATGCAGCCGTACCTTTTTAGATGCATTCTTCTGTGCTTGGGTTCTGAACACCTAGCCTGCTACAAGTCAAGTGCAGCATGTGCTGCTGGCCCTGTCTGCCCATTCCAATTGGCTTGTTGTCATAATGGCAGGCCTTACTGATCAATAGGAACATGCAGGAGTGGACAGCACCTGACCAATCTGGGAAGTGTTGAATTGTGCTGGTTACAGCAGCCAAGCATTTTGGGCACCCACACTTTTATTGCACTATTCACTAGGTAAATTCAACCTCCCTTATTCTCCCCTCCATTTTAGGGTGTCTACAAGACTGGGAAAACAAGGGGGAATATCCTCAATAGGGACACACCAGTTAAAACCCAACAGATATTTTAGGCCATTCCCACTCTACTTCAAATTTAAAAGTCAGAAGTGGGCTAGAGCTAAGCTGTCCATAGACAGATTGACATTCAATCCGTTCCGCTGGAACCAGCAGAATTTCCATCATCTATGGGCAGGGCCGGTTGTACTGAAGTCTATCTATGTATGTATGGCCTGCCTGGGGCTTTAAAGCCTAGTTTGATGGTACAGAATTAGATAAGTAGATATGCAGTAAGGTGGACATTGTACTGACAACCTTTCAATATTACCCCATGCTCCTGTTACAGCAGCTGTGCAGTATCTGACTGCAGTCTAGGAGGCACTAGAATTGGACCCACCGCTCTATAATCTGCACTCCGTAAGAGAGCAGCTCTGAAACACTCCCTTTGTAACTGTGTGTGAGGACTCGTGTGGCTGTCATTTTTCTAAGGCAAGGCACTGCTGACAGTGTAGTATTTCACCCAGAAATAAGTATTTTAAAGCATTTCCAAGCAAAAATCATAACTTGTGTTGGGGAAGAAGGGGGGGGGGTATAGGACTATAAAGGGGTAAAAAGGTGTGAGAGCTCAAATGGGCTTCTCCTTTTAGAAGGAAAACATCTGATTTTGTTCTGTGCATGTGAAAGTCCAATTAGGCTTAATGTGCTGTAACAAAACACTGGTCCCTCCGGCTCTATGCAGCCCACCACGTGTTTGGTGCTTTGCAGAGTGGCAGCGTGATGCTGGGATGCTCTTTGTATTCCTGTACCTGGCACTGAGGTGAAGCCAGTACTATCAGGCATAGTGATCCCTGCCTGGCAGTAGATATATACACCTGGGCTGATGTCAGGGAGAGAGCAGTGCAGGAACCTGTAATCTGGTAAGTAAACAGTGGGGGCAGCACAGTGGCTAAATGGTTAGCACTTCCCGCCTGGCAGCACTAGGGTCGTCAGTTCGATTCCCAGTTACGGCACCTCCTGCCTGGAGTTTGTATGTTCTTCCCTGTGCCTGCATGGGTTTCCTCCCACACTCCAAAGACCTGCTGGTAGGTGAATTGTATCCTGTCTAAATTGGCCCTAGTATGTGTATGTATGAATGTAGTTAGGCAGGACCTTAGATTGTACACCTCTTGAGGGTTAGGGACTGATGTGACTGTACAATATATATGTGTAAAGTGCTGTGTAAATTGACGGCACTATATAAGTACCTGAAATAAAATAAGAAAACACTAACCACAGTTGTGGAGTTGGGGGTTAACCGCACTCCTACACACAGTTACTGCAGGAAGGGGGCTAAGAAGGGAGTTAACTGGTTTGCCACTTTGTGGTGGTTATTATGGTCACAGACACCCATGCTGACCCTGCATCCACTGACATCAGTGCTGGGGGTTATCGGGGGCACTAACACCAATGCCGGGAATTGCTGTTACTGTCACTGATGCCTTTTGGGCCATTACAGCTTATTTATTTTAAATAGGCTGCTGAAATCAACAGTGTATTTTCAATGCATGAAAACAAGCAATCATCTGGAAATGTTAAGGGTTCATTTGAACCCTGCTTTACTCTTCAAGTAAGCTAAAGCATCAGATTTTTACTGTGCATGTAAATATTAATACACGTTTTTTTTTTTTTTTTTTTTTCTTTTTAGTGTCTTCTGGACAAATACTTGATTCCCAACGCATCCCAAGCAGAGAGCAAAGTCTTCTACTTGAAAATGAAGGGAGACTACTACCGTTACTTGGCTGAAGTAGCTTGCGGAGATGACAAGAAAAGTACTTTAACTTTTTTTTTTGTATACTTTTTAAGTGGAATGTGCTGCCAAATTAAATTACAAATATATGTAAACCCTTGTTCAGTAGCTTAGTTAGCTGCATCTAAAGGGCCCCGAGGAGCTAGGATTCCTTGTTACCAGTGTGTGGCTAAGAGAAGCCTGCAGGGAATTGGTCTACGTTTTGCTTTTTATAAATCTATAATAATAATGTAAACTAATATTGATGGTTAGGACCTAGCTGCCTAAAGGCTTATTCAAAAACGTGACATACAGTGAACCCCAAGTCAGCCACCAAACAATTTACAATTACTGATAGTCTTGATCTGTGAAAGCCCACCTCTGATTACTAGATTGTACTGGCTTTTTGCACTGTTATGCTAAAATGAGCCTGTTAGTTAATAATCTATAAAGGATGTCTTTTGCCAACTGATTTCTCCGACTGTCATTTTGTAAAGTGAACCAGCCATAACTGGCAAATCAGAGAATTTGAATGTCTAGTCCAAAGCAGAAAATTACCTACTTGTCCATGAATCCAGTAACAAATTGATAAGTCAGCGATCGGCAGTCTCTCTGCTGGCATAGCCATCTTCTTCAGTGTGCCTTCAGCAGTCCATGATGCACTGATCATTTATTAAATTGTTGAGGAGGTAGTGGTGTGTTTTCTGGAATTTTTTTTTTTTTTTTTGCGCACTGGAGACATGCAAAGTACCCTTCTGCTGAAAAGCCTAGCATTTTTTTAAAACTAACTTGAAGTTCTGAAGTTATAAATCTTAAGGCTTAATATATAAAAGATTTTATATTTTGCTTTTTGATTTGGTTTAAGTCACACTGTTGCTGCTCTGCCAACTGCCTGACCTTATGGTGATGATACACACAGAGTAACGTTTATTAGGTCGATTATCTACTGGTATATGCTTTTTGCATGGTGCTTTGTAATGCCATTTGTTGTAAATAAACCTGTGTTAGAACTTGTGGTAAAAACACTACTGCGTGTTAGTGCACTAGAGAAAACGCTGCAGGAGCATTCTCTGATTAGTTTTGGTGCATTGGACAGCCCATATAAATCTGATTGCCTTTACTCAATGATTACACTGGTGTGAATGGGCCTAATTCCACTTGCACTCCAATCAGCAGCTTGCATATGTATTGTGTGTGTGTGTATCTCCTTCTTTTTTTTTTTTTTTTTGGACCAAGGAGACAGCAAAATAGCAACTTTCCGCTGCTTTTCATACATACAGATGTTATTTTTCATAGTGGCCAATGTATTACGTAAAATGCTTAAAATATTTTAAATCTGTGAATTGAAGGAAGGGAGCTATTAGAGCTGCAAGGAGTGATGCCCTTTGAAAGCAGGTTAAGCTAATAAAAAGGTAGATATAAAACTATTTCTAAAAAAAAAATGCCTGTAAATTTATTTTATTTTTTAAAATGTTCTTGTATTGATTTTGATCCTCGTGATGCAGCTTTATGCTCTTCCAGTTAAAAGCTGTATGAAAATCCCCTGCCAGAACATGAGCTAGGGTCTTTTTGTGGGACTCCTGGATATAGTACTTGTGACCCAAATGATCTGAAACTGTATAGTGTGTCTGCTAAAGTCTGGTCTGTTCAGTTTATAACTAGACTTCATAAGCAACCTGTAAGAAGAGCTTGGAAATAAAGCCCATTATAGACCCAGAAGGCATTATATGCCTTTTCTATAGAGTACACTGCTCAAGAGCCATGGGTTGGTTTGTTGGAGGATTTGTACAGATTTTGAGCATGCATGTGGACAGCTGCATAGGCTGGGACCAGAGGGTAATGCAAACATTCAATGTAGAGTTGCTGTGACTGGAATCGCTGTAGTGCAGTGAATTAAAGGGGTGGGTTGCTGACAGCCTGAAGGGGGATGGGGCTGGATGACGTTGGACGACATCTGGCTCAGAAGTGTGAGAGGAGCTAATTTTTGTAGTGATCAGTAAATTATTATTGTGGCGTTTGTCACATCATACAGACCACGTGGTAGCCCTGGCTAATCATCACATGACCAGGTCATTATACTTTTTTTTTTTTTTTTTTTTTTTTTTTTTTTTTTTTTTCTTCTGTAAATACTGTATTATCCTGGAGATAGTGGAAATAGTTGTAACTTCCCCACATTTCTCTTGGAAGTGCATGCATGTGTGCATATCCAGATACATTTTAAATGCGTATTTTCATGCACTATAGCTTTAGCTCTTACAGCTAAAATGTACTATATACATGTTGTAGCACTCTTCCATTTCATCTCGAGAAACGGTGTGTCTGAAAAATATATGCCAAAGTGCAGCTGGGAATATCTTCTAAAATACACCATTTCTGCACAGTGATGGATCTGTAATAGTGTGGATTAATTTGGATACAGGCAATCTGCCCATAGATGGCTAGATATTCGTTCGGTCCCTGCTAAACCAGCCCAATTTCAATCCATGTTTGGCTTGCTTAAAGTGATGTTAAAGGCAATTTTTTTAAAAAAAAATTTTCATAATCTGTTCTACTTACCTGTGCTGTGCAATGGTTTTGCACACAGCAGCCCCGATCTTCCTCTTCTAGGTTCCCCCCCTCCCTCCTACCCAGAGCAAGCAGCTTGCTATGGTGACACCCAAGCAAGCTTGCTCCTGAGCTTTTGCTCTTTCAATTCACACACAGCCAGCGCTTGGCCCCGCCCCTCATCATTGGCTCCCACTGCTGTCTCAACCAGTGAGGGAGTCCCTGGAGAACCAAGGCTCTTGTGCACATTCTGGATCTAGATGCAGGGGTGTGGGAATTTTTTTAAAAACTGCTTGTCTAGGGACTAAATCTGTGCCCCAATCTACTTGTCCTTCATGACAATCTACTTGTTCAGATAAAAAATAAAATACATTTTAACCAAAACTAATTATTTCGGAGGTGATATTAGGAATGTCTGGAGCTTTTAAAAAAACAAAAGGTTCTTTATGGCGACTTAAACATGTAATCATTTTAACAGTGTGCTGTTAATCTCCTCCTCCCCTCCCTGCCTCTCTCCAGTACCTGGGGACTAGCTGGGAGAGGAGATATTTTGCAATGTAATGAGCAGCGATTGGCTGCTCCTCAGGAAAGGTTGGCTCAGGGCTTATTCTTTATCCCTTTCGCTGCCATAGCTGTTTTTTGCATTTTTTTGCACAAGTTTAAAAAATCATTTTAGACCTGAAGATTACATAAAACCCCCTAGCATATATTTTCTGAAAGCAGAGACCCTAGAGAAAATAGTGTTCGTTCCAATTTTTATGTCGCATAGTTAATTTTAGGGCACAAAAAAGGAATAAATGACCCTAATTTTTTGTACAATATAAAAGACGAGGTTGCACCGAGTAAATAGATATCCAACTTGTCAAACCTTAAATTTGTGCATGCTCGTGAAATGGCGACGAACTTCAATATATTTTCTATAGGTCGACACATATAAAGCTCCTTATAGGTCATCAGTTTAGGGTTACGGAGGTCTGGTGCTAGAATCATTGTTCTCTCATTTTGGCATGCATGGCGATATTTGACATGTGTTTCGCAATCAACGTTTGTGTGTAGGCACCCCAGCCTGTGCTTCTACGTTTGTACGTGCACATATGTGGGGGTCCTCAATTTTTTGGGGGGGATGGTATGTGCTTGGGTGTAACTTTCATCTTTTACAATTAAGGAAAAAAAAGGTTTTTTTTTGTTAGCCTTTTTTTTTCCATCACCTAGGGGACAAAGTCCACTAAGTGATTTATTTTATTTTTTTTTTTTTTGTGACAGGTTCTCTTTATTGAAGCATCCAGGCTCCACTGAATGTAATGCGGTGCACATAGCACTGCATTACATTCTTTGCCAGCTTTCATGGCCAGGAATCTCTCAACGGAGATCCGGAAGTGACATAACATCACTTCCGGGTCAGGACAAGGGGTGGGGAGCGGATGTGTCCGCTTTCCTCCCTTCCCTCCAGCCGACGGCGGTGAGCCGGTCCCAGGCCTGCAATTGTGCAAGCGGAGCCCGGGAGACCTCACGGGGGGGAGAGAGGCTTGCATTGTGTGGAAGCAATCGAGCTGCAGCCCCAATGCTTCCACCTGACAGGTGAGCCCACTGCTTGCCCTCAGCAGGGCTAAAGGTAGAAAAAAAAAACTACCTGCCCCAATGCCCAGAACTAGATGTTCCGGGCATCAGGCGATACAAATCAAACATCCCTGAGGTGGGGCTCTGTTAAGTAGCGCGGTTGGACGGGAGCTGAACACAGATGGTTTTTTACCTTCGCGCATGGTATGCATGAAGGTAAAAAAAAACAAAACCTTGAGCCTGTACAACCACTTTAAGCGCAAATGGGGCAGATGTTCACTGCCTGCAGTGCAATATTCCTTTTACATACATTTTATGAAATTCACAAACGCTGTTTAACCTCTTCACGCCAGCCGCACACAAGTGTGCAGCCTCCCAGCGTCTGCACCTAAACACCGAGCGGCCGCACATTTGTGTGCAATAAAAAAAACCCATGCTGAGAGCATGCGCCCTGCACGCTCCCAGCAAACGTCTGGTACTCACGGAAAGGTCCCGATCTCCTCTTTCGATTGGAACCTTTTCCGATCATGTGACGGCGAATCACGGCGGTCACATGACCCTAAAACCCCGCTCGGCCTCCTGGCTTCTGAAACCCATAAAGGGCCGGGAGGCGCCGGCGCCAGGGGGTTAAAGGGGGTGAGGAAATCAATAGATTTATCCAATTCAACCACAGGGCTGAACGAGAGAAATCTAAACATATATGGCTAGCTTTAGACTGTTTTTCACAGGAACAAGTGTCTCCATTGAAAGATTTCACCTTTCTTCCTGTTCTGCTGGCAAATCAAAACGTTGGATTTACCATTTCTTTCATTATGGATAACCTTTCTGATCAGGACGGTCAGAGTGAACTTTGCGGTTCTCTTTTAGATATTATCATGATGCCATTCCGCATAAGCATTTTCTGAGCTAAAGGCTTCATTGCATAAAATGTTTTATAAAATAGAAGAACCCTGTTAAAGTTCACAATAGACACCTTAAACTTTATTACACATATGTATGACTCAAAGGAGCCGATGGGGAACTGGTCTTCATGTGCCTTTTTATTATTGGCTATATCCGTTGACCATAAACACCTAGCTTCCTCCTGAAGGCGTGTTCAGTAAGGGTGATGCCAGACCCATGCCAGCCACCAATTTCATTTCAAATTACTGTCTGACCAGTGATGGATCACTTCTAACTGGTTACTAGATTATTTCTAGATCTACTGTGTCTGCTTACTGGGTTTCTGAGCTATAATTGCATAAGGAAACAGCCACAGCCGGCATTTCACAGAATCTAAATATTTAGTTGTAAAGCATCATAAATGTGATCGGTGGTCAGTAGTAGTAAGTGACCGGACTGGAGCTTGAGGATGGCTTTTTATTGCCAGAGTGCAGTGCTTTTCTTAACATTCTACTTTTGCTGTGTTGTGACCTATAAGCTATAAAGAATGTACTCTTACAGACTGTGTGTGACTGAAAGGTCCCCTTTTATTAACTCATTGGCCCCTCTGAAAGACCCATTATAGCAAATCCGATTCTCTCCACATTACAAACCTGACACAGGGAATCTGATTGCGTTGCCATCCATGTAGGAATTGGAAATGAGAAACCGGTTTTAGTACTGACGCATTGCACGTTTACCCTTGTCATTGCAGCAATTGTGGAGCAGTCTCAGCAGGCATACCAGGATGCTTTCGACATCAGCAAAATGGAGATGCAGCCAACACATCCTATAAGGCTGGGCCTGGCTCTGAACTTCTCGGTCTTCTATTACGAGATCCTGAACTCCCCGGAAAAGGCATGCTCTCTGGCAAAAACCGTAAGATCATCCCAAGATTACTTGTTACTGATGTATAGCACATTTTAATGGTTCCTGGCTATAACCAACTTCTTTCTTTTAGGCTTTTGATGAAGCTATTGCCGAACTCGATACCCTGAGCGAAGAATCATACAAAGACAGCACATTAATAATGCAATTACTGAGAGACAATTTGACAGTAAGTATACATTAGATTGTAAAGAAATGACATTGTGTAGAGAGTATACCAAGCTCAGTGCGGTGTTCAAGACCCTGGTGTCTGACCATTTATTTCAACAAAATTCCTGGGAGATTATATGTGCATTTTAAGCTGGGGGTGGGGGAGCACCCCTGCATTCTTTAACTCTAAGTAGGGGCTCACCCCTCTCCCCCCGATAGATGAATCTTATGTGTGTTTTATTGGACTTCAGCTTTCATGTTCTATATTAGCTATTGCATGTTCAATTTTTCTTTCTGGATTAAGATTTGTGTTTACAGATTTTACTTGCAACACTCCCTGCTGGTAAAATCTGGGATTGCAGTACTCTAAATTTGCGTTGAATCAATGTGGAAAAGATTTGATGAAAGCTGAAGATGACGCGCTGACTGTGTCAAGGGTCTGTGGCAGCTCTTCATGTTCCTAAATGGAGGGTTCTCAATAAAGCAGGGAATTTCTTTCAGGAAATACCCTTTTAATCGGTTCCACTCCGCCCTATAGCAGAAATACTGCTACAGGGCGGCACGAGTGCGCAAAATCACGTATGTGTGTGTGATATTTTGCAGTTCCGGGTAGGGGGGGCGCATGCCCTACCCGTGCCGCCATTCGTGGCCTCAGCTGTCAATCACGGGGTCCCGGCCGATGATAACTCGCCAGCACCCGGTGAACGCTGAGTATATCTTTAGATTGTAAGCTCCACGAGCAGGGCCCTCACATTCCTTCTGTACTGAAATGTATTGTAATTGTATTGTCTCCCTTTATATTGTAAAGCGCTGCGCAAACTGTTGGCACTATATAAATCCTGTATAATAATATCCGATGGGGGAGAGACCTGTGTATAAACACAGATCTCTCCCCTGTCAGCTCCTGCACACTGCTTTGTGTGGTTCTGCATAGCAGAGCCATACAAAGCAATGTGCTTACAGTGAACACACACACAGCTAATACGGTGAAATGGCACACAGTTAACCGTTTGATCGACCTAGATGTTAACCCCTTCCTGCCCAGTGCCATTAGTCGTCGGTGCTTTTTATTAACACTGATCACTGTATTGGTGTCATTGGGGATGTTAGTGACAACAAGTCCATTCCCCCCAGTGTCAGAATGCCCACCGCAGTCCCGCTATAAGCCGCTGATCACCGCCATTACTAGTGTTAAAAAACAAAATTCCATTATCTATACCGCCATTTGTGAAAGCTATAACTTTCATGTAAACCAATTTACATGTATTGGGATTTTTTTTTTTGTAGCAAAAGACTTGTAGCAGAATAAACTTTGGCTTAAATTTTTGAAGAAACTTGATTTTTTTTTTTTAAAGAATTTTTTTTTAACTGGACGTGTTTAATAGTAAAGTCAAAAATATATATTTTTCTCAATTGTCAGGCTTTTTTTGTTTACAGTACAAAAAATAAACGCACAGGCGAGCAAATACCATCGAAAGAAAGCTCTGTTTGTGGGGGGAAAAAGACGTAAATTTAATTTTCAGTGTTGTATGACAGCGCAATTGTCGGTTAAAGTAACGCAGCTCCGTAATGTAAAAAATGGCCCATCAGAAAGGGGGGTAAATCCTCTGGAGGGAAAGTGGATAATGGCCCATACAGCGTACATCTGATGATGTTTTTACCACACAATATATTGGCTGTCTGTGTTCCTTGTTGCAATTTTTCTTCATTCCTGCTTGGTAACACCGTTGTGACCAGGGTAGTAAGCAAGTGCAAAATATTCCTGAGCACTGGCTAGCAGCAAACAGCCAATGGCGTTTCTATCCCTTCCCCACTTTCTAGACGTGCCCTTTAAATTGTTCAGGAGTCACAATGAAGGAGATTCATATGGGGTGAAAAGTCTGTTTTTTTTTTTTTTTTTTTTGTTTTTTTTGTTTTTTTTTTTTTATATATTTTGGCGACCTGCAAAGCCTTATGGTGCCACTCCAAGCCAGAAGTGGAATGTGCTTCCCTGCTGCAACTCAGGCATATGGGTGCTAGCGTCAAGTTTCACTCATCCAAAGGTGCTGATAGAAGTATGAGACGCTGCTCACCCAGCTCAATTAATGTAGGTGTATGTAACGGCCTCAGCCAGCATTGCTCCACTGACCATACCCCCTGCTGCATTTCACACCACCCACTGGGGGTTTAGTCAGAGGTCAAGACCTCTGACTAAGCCTAGGTGGGCAGAATGAAATGGATCAGAGGTGTTGTCAGTGGAGCAATGCTGGCTGAGGCTGTTACATACACCTGCATTGATTGGGCAGGGTGAGCGGCGTCTCGTATATCTACTATCAGCACATCTGTTATCGTCGTTGCAAATATCACATTTCAGCTTTTCCAGTTTTCCAAGATCATGGGACCTATTCTTATAAAAGTAGAACTGTCACATGGCTGCAGTGCTAGAAAACGAGGAGGGCCGAGCACTGGGGCCTCGGAGAGACATTGCTGGTGCACTGCTTATCTTGTGGGTAGATTTAACCCCTAAAGGAATGCAGTTTTCCCTCCCAGCTGTAATGCTTGGCCAACCTCTGCTCTAGTTCTTCTCCATATTTTGCATACTCTGCACTTTTAGCAAATCTTTGAAAATCTGTATTCATTCCATATCCCTTTTTACTTCAGTGACTTAGCTGATAATCAACTGATAGCCGATTACTCCACCAGTATCCCTATGAATAAATGTGTCTACAGTGACCTCATGCTTGATTCACAGCAGATTTTGGTGCTATAAGATGTAAGAACTTTGTTACCTCATAGACAGACGGCAGACACAAGGACCTAAAAGGTTAAAAAGAAAAAAAAAACTAGAGCTTTGCTTGGTAATACTGAAAAATGCTGAAAAGAAGGCATTGTATATAGTCATCCAATAGTTGCTGTAGATGCATATGCTGTAAATGGAAAATTTGAAAAGCCAGAATAGCTAATTCCCAAAAATGAATCTTGGGCCTTAAAGCCGCACTACAGGCAAGACCCATAGACACCCCCCCCCCCCCCCCCCCCCCCCCCCCCCTGCAAGGGTTAAATACTCATTAAACAGGAGCTCCAGTCATTTTTGTGTTCTATTAAAAGTCAGCAACTACAAACACTGTAGCTGCTGACTTTTAATAAACATACCTGTCCCACGTTCCAGTGATGTGACCTGAGCCGTTCCTGACCTCAGTCTTCTGTCCCCAGCATCCCAACTGTGGGCACCCAGCTGGACAGCTTGTGAGCTGTGCTGCACATTGTGAATGGTCTTGCAGTCTCCTGGGACCTGTCCCACAAGACTGCAGGAAAGGAGGCCTAGTCAATCCAGGAAAGGAGGCCTAGTCAATCCAGGAAAGGAGGCCTAGTCAATCCAGGAAAGGAGGCCTAGTCAATCCAGGAAAGGAGGCCTAGTCAATCCAGGAAAGGAGGCCTAGTCAATCCAGGAAAGGAGGCCTAGTCAATCCAGGAAAGGAGGCCTAGTCAATCCAGGAAAGGAGGCCTAGTCAATCCAGGAAAGGAGGCCTAGTCAATCCAGGAAAGGAGGCCTAGTCAATCCAAAGGAGGCCTAGTCAATCCAAGTGGAAGTGTCAAAACCAGGTACCCGCAAGACAGCAGACAGGGAGAAAGTGAAGTTTGGCATCAGAAGGTGGGATAGGTTTAATTGTAATCTGTGTGCATCCATGGACTCCGCACAATGCGGCTCGGCCATGCCCCCCTGCTCTCTCCTCACAGGATTTGTTTGATAGCAGCAGGAGCCAGTGAGTCCTGCTTCTGTTGGAGCCTCCTGTGAAAGAGAGGAGCTGCTGCAGATAGAACTGGATCAAGAGACTTTCGAGTAAGTGCTTAAGGGAGGGGAGGGGGGGCCAGGTGATAACAAAGTGTTTATTGCCTTAATGCAGAGAATGCATTAAGGTGTACAAAACACTTTTTGCTAAGTGAATCTGACAGCTTGACTTTAGATCTTTTTTCACACCATATGTGCAGAAAAAACTGATGGAAACTGATGCGCAAATTTCACTTGCAGAGACCTGTTTTCATGCACACTTCAATGAGTTTTATACACATCAGTTTCCTGCGCAGAAAAAGAAATCTGCATGTGGTACCAGAGTTGTGGTGTGAACAGGGCACATAGAGAACAATTGATTTTGTTGTGCCCTTGCAGAAAAACTGATGTCTCCGCACCATGGTGTGAACGAGCCCTAAGAGTCAGCAATGTGTACGGACACTGTTTGGTTAAATTGGAAGCAATTTTAAAAATACACTGAACTTTCTTTTCTTTTCTTCCAGTTGTGGACATCAGACACTCAAGGAGATGAAGGCGAAGCAGGAGACTGCCCCGGAGAGAATTAATCGGCCTTCCTTTTCTGTCTGCCTCATTCTAAAATTTCCACAATAGACCATTGTCATCCTTACTGTCCCACACATAGGTTTATTTTTTTTATTTTATTTTTTTTTTTTTTTTGTTTACAATTATGAAAGGTTTATGTTACTTCTATTTGGATTTCTATATTTCCCATGTGGTTTTGTGTTAAATAGGGAGTAGGGCCAGTTAACATTTTGGGGAGTCAATTATTTTTTTTTCCAACCTCATAATGTGACCAATATGGGGAATATGGAATTTTTATACAGGTTTTAAATGTTTGGCACAGTACTTCTGGTACATTGTAGGTTACCACAGGGCCCAATGTTTAAACAAATTCCCATATTTAAACAAGGTGACCAACTTGTGTATTGCTGTAACTCCAAAAAAAGGGGGCGGGGGGAGCATTTGGTTAGCGCTGTGGGTGGAGACCATAAACTCCTCCCTTTAGCACAGCCATACATATTCATTGAGTGATTCCTGTGATAGCCAATCAAAATCACGAGTGCGAAACGGTTCACATTCCATTCTCCTCACAGTTTAGCTAACGTTTGCTTTTGTTTGTTGCTATTCTCCATTTTATTTGTATTTAAATTGTTCAAAACGACCTAAGATCAAAAAAAAAAAAGAGAAGTACTTGATGCATAAAGATACGTACATGCTTGGTATCCATTAAGTCACTATATATA